AAAAAAAAAAAAAAAAGACCTGTGAAGAAGCAGAGCATTACTGAAGGGATTTTAGTGAATGCTGCACAGAGACCTTATTGCCATATATTATCGATTTAAAGTAAAAACACATCACCACAGTTATAGATTACAGTGTTTTTGGTAAATAAATTTTAAGTTTAATTACTGTTCTTGCGTAAAGCTTCTTTATCCAAGATAACCAAGTAAAAAGTTGGTGCAAGATTGGATCAAGAGGCAGGTTTGGGAAAGTGAGGAACTTCGAGTGGTTAGTTTTATACCACACTTTATAACTTAACTTGAAGTTACCTGTATCGTAACTTCTTATCCTATTTACTAAATACTTAAGGGCAAGGTCATTTCTTTTCCCCATATTGGATTTTTTGCCATCTAGCCTAGTACCTACCTTGCAGATAGTAGTCTCTTAATTTCTTGAGCCAGGGGGCGCTTGGCTGGTTCAGTCGGTAGAGCATGCAACTCTTGACCTTGGGGTTTGAATTCGAGCCCCGTTTTGCATGTAGAGATTACTTAAAAAATTTTTTTCCTAATGAAAAAAAAAAAATTTGTTGAGAAAATTAAGAAATAAATGCCTGTTGGGTGCCTGGGTGACTCAGTAAGTGTCCTGACTCTTGATCTCAGCTCAGGTCTTCTTGATCTCAGGGTTGTGAGCTGTTAAAAAAAAAAAAAAAAAAAAAAAAAAAATTGCCTGTTGAAGAAGTATCCATTGAAGGTTGCTTTCAGAATTATGAAATCTGACATCACTAAGTTATATTAAGGAGCCACAAGATGTGAAACTTACCTTGAATAGTTGTATGCAGTGTGACAAGAGCCAGCATTTATGCAGAAGAGCATTGTTCTTATTTGAATCTGAAAACACATAACAACATGTTTACCAAGTAAATAGATGATTACTTTGAGGCATGTGTGTGTACAGTTTTAAATTACAAAAGTTTTTTTATACATCTTTATGTTTTTGCTTGTCATACTTTTCTGTTTTTCCTAGTTTTAAGAAAAGACTGAGAGTAACGAAATTACCCAAAATTTTGAGGTCATTCTCTAAGTTTTGTAGTTTGGGAACACCTGGCTTGCTCAGTTGGAAGAGCAAGTGATTTTTGATCTCGAGGTCATGAGTTCGAGCCCCATGTTGGGTGTAGAGATTACTAAAAAACAAACAAACAAAAAAACTTAAATATATATGGTTAAATTTTGTAGTTTGAATTGAATTAATTCCTTTACCAGGTGCCTTTTAAAATAGAACTAAGATAAAAACAAAAAGAATTATAGTACATTAGAAGTCAGTAATTTTTTTTTTTTTCACATCAACACAATTAGTCTAGTTTTCTTTTAAAATATAATAGAGTCCTAGGGGCACGTGGGTGGCTCAGTTGGTTAAGTGTCCGACTTTGGCTCAGGTCATGATCTCACAGTTCGTGGGTTCAAGCCCTCATGTCAGGCTCTGTGCTGACAGCCCAGAGCCTGGAGCCTTCTTCAGATTCTGTGTCCGCCACCCCCCCAACCCCCCCAACCCCTTCCTGTCCCTTCCCTGCTTGTGCACACTCTCTCATAAATAAATAAATATTAAAAAGTAATAAATCCTGCAAATAGTTACTTGCGAGAAGCATTACAACATGAATTTTGTGTTTTTATTTTTTGTAATACTACATGTGCAAGTCATGGGAGAAAGACTTACGTAGTATTTAGAGTTGGTTCCTTCTTAGACTATAAGTACCTGGTTTTTTTTTTAAGTGGTATTTCCACATTCTAGAAGGCAGAAGGGGAAAAGAGATGCAGTTGTTTCAGCCCCTGACCTATCTGATGCTTGCGTTTTGTTTTGTCTTTTTTTTTTATGCTTGCATTTTGTTGTATATAGCTACCTAATGTTTTTCATTTGTTTAACCTGCACATGCTTTTGTTTATTTTATTTTTATTTTTATTTATTTTTTGCTTTTGTTTATTTTAAATGGTGTCTGTAAAGGTGGCTGTCATAGTGTGCGTACAAGTGTATTTTGTTTTTTTCACATAATTAAATTTTCAAGTCTTAATTGGTTAATGTAGTAAATATCGTTAGTTTGTGGAAGTATTTGAGCAAGACAGTCTGAAAACCTGAAAGCTTTGCAGATGTATTTGTGTACTATGTTAGTCCTGTGGTTTAATCTTCCTGTAACTGGTTGGGGGTCAGAATATTAGCTATTAAAGGAAGAAAGCAAAAGAAAATGATAAAGTATCAGTATCTGAGAAAAATCAGTAAGTCAAATGAAGTTTAGTTTTGTGAAGTTAAGAACAAAACCAAATCTGCATTTACTCGGACTACAGAGATGCTCTTTTGGAGAAAAACATGTTTGTTTTGTGTACTACCTTGTTTTAGAATGATTTTAATTTTCTTGTTTTTTTTTAATTTTTTTTCTGCCTTCCTGCCCCTGAATTTGCCTTTTTTTTTTTTTAAAGAATGCAAGGCCAGAAACTGTCTCTAATGATGATGAAGAAGCCTTAGATGAAGAGACAAAGAGAAGAGATCAGATGATCAAAGGGGCCATTGAAGTTTTAATTCGAGAATACTCCAGTGAGCTCAATGCCCCCTCACAAGAATCTGACTCTCACCCCAGGAAGAAGAAGAAAGAAAAGAAGGAGGACGTATGTGTTATTTGATTTCTGACAACAGAGTCATTTCTACGGTTTACTTTTTATGGTGTCACTCTTGTGCTTTCATTTCATTTTCACTTTCAAGGGGAAAATAAAATGACTAGCATTTATAACAATACACAGTTAAGCCTAATTTGACCATGGTTAATCAAGTAACTCATGAATTTTTTTACCAAAATGTTTGTTTTGTGTGTTTGAAATGCACTGGCATGGATGCTTGTATTTATCTGTGGATTCAAATTTCATAAAGAAAAAACCTTAACTCACGAAGTAGAAGCTGGTACTAAGGGACAAAGGAAGTTTTTTTGTTTTTGTTTTTTCGGCCGTGAAGGGGCTGGCTTTGCTTTGTCTTACTCCCTGATATTGTTCTATCCCTGCTCTAAGCAGGATACCAGATGTCCTTCACTGAGGATTTTCACCCATTCTTTGATTCTTAGCCATGTTTTCTTATAAACTACTGCTTATTTCCCTCTGTGGACAGTAACACCATTGAACTTCTAACTGGAGGACTGTGAAAGAATAGTACAAGATGAAACACTCCTCCCCAGGGTATTCTAATTTACCACTCTTTGCCTGCCTAAGCTAATTAAATAGTAAGGAGTCCAGGTTGAAAGAAAATGTTTGGTTTTTTTTTTAATATTCATTGCTTTGGATAAATTTAGAGCATTATGGGGAGTATTTTTTTGAAATATTGGAAGTATCTTACATGCATAGATTATATGTGCCATGAAAGAGTACTGTGAAACATACACTCTAGTTTTTATTTTTAAAAAAAAATTTTTTTTTTCAACGTTTATTTATTTTTGGGACAGACAGAGACAGAGCATGAACGGGGGAGGGGCAGAGAGAGAGGGAGACACAGAATCGGAAACAGGCTCCAGGCTCTGAGCCATCAGCCCAGAGCCTGACGCGGGGCTCGAACTCACGGACTGCGAGATCGTGACCTGGCTGAAGTCGGACGCTTAACCGACTGCGCCACCCAGGCGCCCCAACACTCTAGTTTTTAAAATGAAGGGGTAGTTACAGCCATTTTATTTTGAATTTCAATGCCTTATTTTATTTTGAATTTCATTTTCAATTAGCTTTCTGGACAAATACATTTTTATCACTTGGCTTGTTTTTCCTTATGTGACCTTAAAAACCTGTCTAGTGAAATGCCAGTTGTTGGGAATGGGAATTGATAGTCATAGGGTAGTTGATGTTTTAGAGTTTGTTCTTCCTCTTCCAGCGTTAATGGGAAGGGAAAAAATTACTAGACATATTTGTTTGTTATGGGCTGGGAGGAAAGAATCAAATCCTGCTGTATGGCAGGAATTATGGGTGAATTTTGTTGGTATGATTTTTTCCTGGGTTTGGAGGAAAAAATCCTGCTAGTGAGACTTTGCTTATTCCATTGCCTGGGGGAATTGGAGGGTGAGGAGGTGGTAGGTGACAGGAGGGATTAAAGAGAGTGAGTGAAGTCTTTTTTATTAAGTAATTTGAAATCAAGAAAATGTCACAGAAATCTTGCATTGCTTATAGTATAAACATACAGAGCATTGTTGTGCAGAGTAATGTTAACTCATTGCTTTTTTTTTTTTTTAATCTTTGTGGATTTTTCCGCAGATTTTCCGTAGATTTCCAGTGGCCCCACTGATCCCTTATCCACTCATCACTAAGGTTCGTTTACATTGACAATGACTGTTTACTGCTAATGGCCAGATTTGTGATTCTTGTTCATCTGACATCTCATTATTTAACTTAGATCACTAGATTTCTTACTATATAAGTTCTGTTTGTTTAGTTACTATCTGTTTGTAAGGTGTACAGAATATCTAACTTCTAGTTTTAATATATTTGTATTGCTAGTTTTAATATATTTGTATTGATGTAGATTGATCTATAATGCGTTCTCTCCTATCCCCCCCTATCTTTTTTTTAGGAGGATATAAATGCTATAGAAATGGAAGAAGACAAAAGAGATCTGATATCCCGAGAGATCAGCAAATTCAGAGACACACACAAGGTAGTATTCTTGTTTTTTCACTTGATACCAATCTAGACTTTTTACAGAATCCAAAGCAAACAGACAAAAAAAAAAAAAAATCAACCTTACATTAGAATATAATTTTAAATGCTTTTTATAGGTTAATTAATATCTAGATAGAGACAAAGAAACAGAAGACCATACCATTTTAAAGTGGTCCTTGACATATTGTGCTTAGTTGTTGCAGTTACTGACTACTCTACAGTCACCTCACTTGAGTATGAATAAAAGCTAATTTTACTTTTAGATTTTAACATAAACATCAAGATCAGATTTAAACTAGATTCAGTGGGGCAGCAGGATGACCTACACTGTAGTGTATTGCTGGGGGCATTTATTTAACTTAATCGTAGGAAAACCTTTGCTTTAGGGCCGAGATTGAAATTTAAGATTTATATTTGTGTAGATTTAAGTTGAGAGGGGGAGATTTTAAAAAGTAGGTCAGTGGTTACCAGACTTACCAAATTTTAGATGCATGGAAGAACTGTAAATTCCCATAAAGCTAATCTATTCATTGACCCCCACCATTATGATAGAGATCATATGGTGACTAATGCAAGATGAAACTCTCAGCTTGGAAAGTAACAAGGAATAGGATGTAAGTATGAGCTTCTGTTTTTTATTATATTTATGGATGCCCCCTCAGAAAAATATGCAAAGGGGTAACTGGCTTGGAAATGGGTATTTGTGCATAGTAAATCCCACTCACGAGTTTTGCCTATTGAAAGCTTCTCTCAATGACAGTGCATCTGTGAGTGTTCGCTGGTGTTGAAGGTGATGCTTATGGACGGTAAAATGCAAATATCGCATGAAATGTATTTTCATGTTAGAGGAATAAGATGTTACTGGTTATTACTCAAAATACTGAGTGATCTTTAACTCAGTGAAGTGTTAAGTGTTCATTTTTTCTTTTATACGATCTTCTTTTTTCTTACTGCTTTCCAAATCCCAAGTTGACAATTAATGCTATTGAATCAGTGCTGCTGAACACTTATTATCCAGATGCCCAGCCCTAGCTCACATACACAGTGCTTTTCCGGGAACTAAGTATCTAAAAGCACAAATAAATTTTTCCCAAATTAATTTTGAGTTTAAATGGTAGTCTGTGGGAAGTCATTAGTTGGGATACTTTTGGGATACTGTGGGATACTTTTGGTTAGGTTCAATACACAAATTCAGGGCCTGAGTAAGCTTGAAAATGGTATACGGTTGTGTGTGTGGTTTACCCCCTTGTTGTTATTTGTTAAACCCTGTCATGTCATTGGTAAAGTATGATGAAATTGTGTTTTTAACAAATTAATTCAAAAGATATTTGCTTCAGAGTTTGAGAAGCTGTCAGGCATTTGACTGCCTTAGACTTATTTCACTGTTGTTGGGGGTGGGGTGGGGATGTTTTGAATTTCCAAAATGTATTTTAAAAAAAGATCAAAATGAAAACAAAATATAGTTCTTTTTGTTGGGTGGTATGGTTAAAGGGGACATTTGAAACTCCAGTAACAAAAAATGAGCTCAGTGAACCTTTGCATGTTTTGGTATGAGTTTATTAAATAACCACGGACTGTCAGGGTATCAGCGTGGCAGGGGGCGTCCATTTACAGCACGGACGAGTCTGAAGAGAGACTAAGGTAAGATTTATGATTTTTTTTTTCCTGTCCTTTCCTCTTCATTATTTCATTACTTTCTTACATCCTTTTAGACTCACTTCCATATTCTCTTTCTCTAGTGTTTGTCTTAAAATATATATGTGTGTGTGTGTGTGTGTGTGTGTGTCTACCTACTGCATATAGATTGTTTTAGAAGTGCATTTAGTATGGTCCAGATTCACTCACTTGTTCATTTACTTAGAACAAAACTTTTGAAATGAGTTCTGAAACAAATTATTATTTACATTAAGTGGAACTATACATCTAAAAAAGAAGTAGTGCAGTGAATAAGCAAAAGCAAAAACATTAAATCCTACAAAAGAGATTATTATTGGAACAGCTAAAATAGATCTGTAAGTATCTATTATCTCAGAAATAAACATTTCTTTATAAGTGTATGACACTGAGGTAAGTTTTGTGTAGTCTAGCCTCATTTTACAATACAAATTTTTATAGTCCATTAGAACTGTTTCAGACATTCTAATTTGCCCCTTTAAATAGTTTTCAGTTTCTGTCCTCTTTCTACCATTTCTTTTCTCTTCTCTTTGTAACTTCAGTGTATTCAGTCTTGGCTTTGCCTACGTTCTCCTTTGATATAGACTGGCACAGCAGCTGAATATATTGATTTCTCATGCATTAGCTTCTCTTTCATAATCCTCTGTCAGTTCTCTGAACCATGAGCGAGAGAAAAAGAGTATGACAGGTAAGATTGCTTTTTAAAGTTGTTTTAAATGCTTTACATGACTGAGAAAAGACAAAAAAAAAATGCACATTTTATTGTTGCAGTTTAAATTTCTTTTCGGTGACACTAAACATGGAACCAAAGGGATAAATGTATTCTGTTTTTGTTTTGTTTTTCCTGTTTGGGTTTTTCTTTTTTTTCTTTTTTTCGGAGTTTGTGTAGAAACCGTGTGGTACACTGGTAATCTTGTCAGGGTACAAACTTGGTCTGACTCTGTTATTTGGTTTATTTGTGAACCATGTACTTGCTCTTCCTCCCAGAAACATAGCTTGTAGGCAAGGTTAATCCAGTGTTGGCGATCCATGTCCTAGCACAGCATCTGTAAGTTCATATGCAATCGTTCCTTCCAAGGATGGATTTATCACTGTTGATGTATTTTTATTGTCTTATAGGCATAATGGGCATAAATATGTTGCTTTTAAAATTAAGTGAAATGAGACTATTACAATTATGTACATTTTTGCTTGAAGTGAGTGTATTTTCAAACTTTTTGTATTTGGTGGGCTGTCCATCTTGTAATGGTGGGAGTAAATGTTTCCATTGAGATAATAGGGCAAATCTTGGCTGAATTCAGCTTATCTTTTGGAGGGTGGGCAAACCAGAGGGTAGAAGATTATTTGTATTACAGTGACCTGACTCTCCTCCCCCACCTCCCCTTTAAAACCTTGAAGTAGTAACCTTTTACGTAATGGGAAGTCTGGGGGTTATATTTAGTATCAGTAGTAAATCAGTAGTTGCACTGGTTTACAGAAATTCATAATGAGAGGAATTACATTTTAGCTAAGTGATTGTATTTCTAGATGTTATTTTTAATCACCACATTCCTCATGGTCATTTTAGTTGTTACGTAATCATTGAGTGGCCAGCCACACTTGACGCAATCTCCCAGCATCCAAGATTGGAGATTCCTGGTCTGTGTAGAGTATCTGGGTTTGCACGCAATCTATATAGTCTTGTGATTGCTTCAGTTTAATTTGCCAAGTAAAACCACAAGTACTTAATATTAAAGTACCAGTGGTTTGGTTATTTTTGTTCCCCATATTGGGCATTGCGCCGGGAAATATCTGAATACTGGAGCTACAGAGTTAACTCTAAAAGTACTTTTATTGGTTTCTAGAAACTGGAAGAAGAGAAAGGCAAAAAGGAAAAAGAAAGACAGGAAATTGAGAAAGAACGGAGAGAAAGAGAGAGGGAGCGTGAAAGGGAACGAGAAAGGCGAGAACGGGAACGAGAAAGGGAAAGAGAACGTGAACGAGAAAAGGAGAAGGAACGGGAGCGGGAACGAGAACGGGATAGGGATCGTGACCGCACTAAAGAGAGAGATCGGGACCGAGACCGCGAGAGAGACCGGGACCGCGATCGGGAAAGGAGCTCGGATCGGAATAAGGACAGGAGTCGATCAAGGTAAGGTTTGGTGGAAGTCACTGTTTGCTGATTGCTTCAGTAGAACTGTACGTTGTTACTCTCCACACTGTTTATGTTTCTGTGAGGAGAGAATTTTCTTAGCCACAGAACGTGCCTGGCTTCCTGTCTCACGCACGTAAGCATTGGTTCAAGTAATGGTTTTCAACTTCAGAGTTAATTACTGTCTGAAGCCAGGATTTACACGGACCCAGAATGCAGCCACTCTCCACCCGGTGTTCTGGGAAGACATGAGTCCCTGTTGTCTCCCTGGGTCGGTGGGCATCTTTTCTATTTACCGTTTCATTGAGGTCCCATGTCCTGGGAAATCAGCTCTAGGACCACTGCTTTTAGCCACTCATGTCTGTATGTGGTCCTGTAGCCTGCTGTATGGCCACAACTCCCCCTGCCCGGCCCAGCTCTCAATTTACTCTCTATTTAGGACTTCTAGTTAATTTCACCTTGTTTTATTATTTTTCTCCTTAATTTTGTTGAATTTGATGAATCATCTTAAATTATTTAGGAATGAGGTAAAGAAAAAATGAACAAAGGAAGCAAGTAGGGAAGGATGAAAAACTCACCTTTTTTCCCCAAGCTGGTTTTCAGATAATACATCTCTGTGTTGTAGGTTTTAACCTGATTGTAACCAAAAGGAGGTCCACTTTTAGTCCACCAGTTGCTGAAACTAGAAATCCAGTGTCCTTAATCTTTAGTGGGCATTAAAATCTTTTAACTTCCTCTGCTGGAATAATCATTATCCTCTTGAGTAACCGTTATTGAGAATTTGACATGTATACAATAGCATACTTTTACTACAGATATGAATACATAAACTATTGTTTTATGTACTGTGTACATACGTATATTTGTATTTAATGAGATCCATGGCATCATACTACATATATTCTGCAATTTTTTTTTTTTATCACTTTGACTTAAATATTGGAGGACACTTCATTGCTGGTAGATACAGTTATGATTTATCCATGCAACATGCCAAAGTGCTCTTCTCTCCACATCTTTGCCAACATTTGTGTTCTTTGATCACTAGTGGGGTAGACTATCTTTTAACTTGTTTGTCAGTCCTTGGTATTTCTTATATGTGGGTTTGTCTGTTTTCTGAAATACTGATAAGCATTAACGCTGAATTTAGAATGCAGTTTAGAATTAGGGACTAGAATTATATTGTGTCTTTCTGGCGAATGTAGAGGAGTTTATAATTCTGCAGAAATCAAATGCTAAATTCTGGCCTGTGATTTTGTGTATTTTGTAATATACGTTGTCCTCCTTTCCCTCAGTTTTAAAGGAAAACAGGGATTGACAGACTTTGTAAATCTTTTGTTTATATAGAGAAAAGAGCAGAGATCGTGAAAGGGAACGGGAGCGGGAAAGAGAGAGAGAGAGAGAACGGGAACGAGAAAGAGAACGAGAGCGCGAGAGAGAGCGAGAAAGGGAACGGGAACGAGAGAGAGAGAAAGACAAGAAGCGGGACCGAGAAGAGGATGAAGAGGATGCTTATGAACGAAGAAAACTTGAAAGAAAACTCCGCGAGAAAGAAGCTGCTTACCAAGAGGTAAATTGAGGAAATGCTTTAAATTTTTTTTAATTAATTAAAAAAATTTTTAACGTTTATTTATTTTTGAGAGAGTGTGCGCGTGCACACGCGTGAACAGGAGAGGGACAGAGAGAGAGAGTAGTGGGGGACAGAGGGTTCAAAGCAAGCTTTTTGTTGACAGCAGAGAGTCTGATGCGGGGTCGAACTCCCAAACCTTGAAATGCTTTCAGTTTTAAAGCTTTGCTAGTCAGTAAGCTAGTCAAACATGTCGGGGCCCTTTGCTTACATTTGTGAAGCTTTGGCAATTTATTTTTTTAGCGCCTTAAGAATTGGGAAATCAGAGAACGGAAGAAAACCCGGGAGTATGAGAAGGAGGCCGAAAGAGAAGAAGAAAGAAGAAGAGAAATGGTAATTATTCTAGGTTGATAAGTGATTTTTCAAATAAAAAGCAGATCAAATTCTTTACCATTAATTAGAAGTAACTTTACCAGAATTTACCAGATTTACCAGAATTAGAAGTAACTTTATAATTAAAATGTATAAGCTCTCAGTATAGATAACTTAATTTTTACATATTTCAAATAATCTTCCGACAATTCCAGACCACCAAAATCTTTCTTACTCTTATTTTTCACATTTTTGCTGCCTATAAACAAAATTACCTTTTGGCAATACCAGTGAAGTGAATCTGTCATAGAGGAGGAATGTGTAAAATGATTAGTTATAGAACATTCTTTGATTAAGAATCTGCAACATTTTCAATTTGAAGAGGCATTGATACTGTTCTGTATTGGTGTAGTATATGTGGGTGAAGGGAATCGTGCCATGAGAAGACCTGTTTTTTTCCCTCTTGATGTTTTTATTTAAATTCCAGTTAACATACAGTGTAAAGAAAGACCTCTGTTTTTATAAATCAAAATTATTGTCTTCAGTATATAGTATTTATGAATTACTTTTTTCCTTATGTTCTGTTTCTTTTAAATACATGATAATCATAAAAATGAACCTTACATTTTGCATTCACGCTATTTGATAAACGATAACAGTAAAGCAGTTCGCATAGGCCGTTACTAAGTAGAATGACAAAAGATTTTATGTAGTATTTGTTTTAGTGGCATGTTCCATGTGTTCTGTCTTTGCCAGAATTTCATGAAGGTTTCTTTATCTCCAGTTTGGAGATTATTCTTCCAAAAACGTCACAGAACTTAGGAATTTTCAAATAGCTTTTGAACATGAAACATAGAGGGAGTATTTGTAAGTAACCAAAAGAGGGTGCATGCAGCAACTAGATAGGTAGTATGGGTTTTCTGTGTAGTAGATCCATAATGCCAGAGAATGAACGTAATTTCAGTTGTCCTGAATTGGTGCTCCCATTCTGGAATTTCTTTCTCATCGCTAGGTTAGAAAATAGGAAGAGAATAACGTAGTGAGAAACAGTTAAAATAAGAAATGTTTGCCACGAACAACATGGTGGAATAGATTTGAAGTGATTCTGCTTCTTAACAAGCAAATCTGAAATCTGTCTTTCTAGAGAAAAACTTCCTATTATTCTTTGAGAGCTTTAAAAAAGTCCAGTTACAAAAGCAGTTACGTGCTCATTATATAAACATACGCGAGTAACAAGTATATGATGTAAAAAGTGAAAGTTTCTACTCCTCAAGACTGGTAACTTATGTTTGTATTTTTAGTATGTGCCTCATGCACCATCCTGTGTTTTATTTAGATATTTGTAAATTTTGTCATTTCTACTTGACAGCCTGTTTTCGTTTATTTGACCCATTTTGTGTGTACATTATATCCCAGCCTTGGGCTTGTGCTGGGTACTGGGCACACAAGAGTAACTATTACTTCTAACTTTAGGTAGGTAGTTACTGTAGTGTGTGCGTGAGTGTTTAAGGTATGGTAAATGTGTGTTTACAGTATTTAGGGAGTACAGAAAGAATGACTAATTCTGTCTGGGGGTAGGAATTTGTGACGGATAGATGGTTAGGTTAGGGAGGTTTTTACAGAGAGGTAACATTTGAACTGGATGAAATTATTAAAATTTTACTTTAGTCGGGGCGCCTGGGTGGCGCAGTCGGTTAAGCGTCCGACTTCAGCCAGGTCACAATCTCTCGGTCCGTGAGTTCGAGCCCCGCGTCGGGCTCTGGGCTGATAGCTCGGAGCCTGGAGCCTATTTCCGATTCTGTGTCTCCTTCTCTCTCTGCCCCTCCCCCGTTCATGCTATGTCTCTCTCTGTCCCAAAAATAAATAAACGTTGAAAAAAAATTAAAAAAAAAAAAATTTTTACTTTAGTCAAAATAATGAACTTTTATTATATTTAGAAGCCTAGCATTATCTGCTTTGTATGTAGATACAAAAGTTGTTGATATAATAGATGAGAATATAAATTCTAAGTAAATATTTATCTACTTATATTGTATAGCTTTATGTAATTGTTACCTGTAAGTGCTATTAAATATAATAATTATATTTGAAATTCCAAAAATAAGAGAGAGTCCTATACTTTAATGGTTTGTGCACTCAGAGTTAGATAGGTATTACATTGATTGATTTAATTGAGGGAAAGCGTGCGCATGCACAAGTGGGGGAGTGACGGGGGTGAGGTGGGGAGAACCTTATGCAGACTCCATGTCCAGCACATAGCCCAATGTGGGGCTTGATCTTATGAACCTTGAGATCATAACCTGAGCCAAAGTTAAGAGTTGGGCGCTTAACTGACTGAGCCACCCAGGCACCCCTAGATTTTTATGCGTGAACATGATTTGGATTTTCAATTCTACATTTTATAAAAACTGCTTTCTATAGCATAATACCCTACAAATGAAATGTAGAATTTTTTTTTTTTAAGTTCATAGATTCTATAAAATAGCTTACAATTTTGTTTCTTCGTATGCTCAAGTTACATTACCATATGTTGAAGATTATATTCAGGGAGTAAATACTATATGTGGCATACTGTATGTGCTTTTTGCAAGGATAAGTCCTTAATCTGACTTGTTTCAAGAGTAAAGGATAGAATATATCTAATGTTATTTAAATTAAATATATCAAGTACATGAGAATTACAGTATTCAAGTGATATGGATGAGAAAAATCTATTTCCCAATAAAGGAGGAGGGGCTAACAAATATGACCTTTTAAGGGGGTAACCTAACATTACCCACATGTTAATTTTGTACACTTTGTCTTCAATTTTCTCATAGGCAAAAGAAGCTAAACGACTGAAAGAATTCTTAGAAGATTATGATGATGATAGAGATGATCCCAAATATTACAGGTAAATAAGCCTTGCTTTATGAGCTCATCTTTTAGTATTAGCCTTATGTTCCCTACCAGAGCAGACAGGTTCACTCAGTGGGATAATAAAGAAAATCTGCATGTTCTACCTTGTAATCACCCCCATATTTGATATGTTGTTTTGGGGAGTACAGGGGAGAACTGTTGGCAAGAGATCAACAATTCTATCTTTTTTGGGGGGTGTCCATAATAGTATTAAAACCGCTTAACTTTTTTCATGTGTTTTAAAGTGGTCCAGTTTTTATAACAAGTTATAACTAGTTTTTGTTTTTTAAATTTTTTTAACATTCATTTTTGAGAGTGAGACAGAGCATGAGTGGGGGAGGGTCAGAGAGAGTGGGAGACACAGAATCAGAAGCAGGTTCCGAGATGTCTGTACAAAGCCCGAGGCGGGGTTCAAACACAGGAACCACGAGATCATGACCTGAGCTGAAGAAGTTGGACACTTAACCCACTGAACCACCCGGGCGCCCCAATAGCTAGTAATAACTATTTAAGGTGGTCTAAAAATTTTTGTCTTCAAGGATTTCAAGAATGTTACAAAGCCAACCAAACACCATCCCATCCACTGCCCAGTTGACATATTTTTCTGAAGTGAGCGTTGTAAAGCCTACCTTTCCTCCTCCTGTAAAGTCATGTTCCCATGGCATTTCTAAACTACTCTTACTTTAGGGGCGCCTGGGTGGCTCAGTTTAGGGTCCGAATTCAGCTCGGGTCATGATCTCACCGTTCGTGGGTTCGAGCCCTGCATTGGGCTGTGTGCTGACAGCTCAGAGCCTGGAGCCTGCTTTGGGTTCTGTGTCTCCCCTGCTCTGTGCCCTCCCCCACTTGTGCTGTCTCTTTCAAAAGTAAACATTAAAAAATAATAATAAACTACTCTAATTTTAGTGCTGTGACAGTAGTGTAAATTTGTTTGCTTTGTTCCCCTTCCTCCATCCCAAACTATAATTTCCCTGAAACTATGGACAATATTGTGATTTTTTTTTTTTTTTTTTATCTCATGTACCTGACGTGATCCAGGCATGTAGGGAAGGCATTTAATGTGTAATTTTAATATACTCACTGCACATAATTAAAATATTGGAATTAACAAATTTTTTTTTTTTTTTTTTTTACATTTCATTTTATTTATTTTTGATAGAGACAGAGCATAAGTGGGGGAGGGGGGCAGAGAGAGACAGAGACACAGAATCCGAAGCAGGCTCCAGGCTCTGAGCTGTCAGCACAGATCCCAATGCGGGGCTTGAACTCACATACTGAGAGATCATGACCTGAGCCCAAGTCGGACGCTTAACTAACTCAGCCACCCAGGTGCCCCTGGAATTAGCAACTTAAGTGCACGCCAAGGATTTGACTTTTTAGAAAAGGGGAAAAAAGTCAGTAAATTATTGAATTGTAAAATCAGTATTACAGAATTTCAACATTCTGGGATATATAATAAACTGCTGGGTAGGGAGAATCTCTTGTTTTCTCTTGATTCTGCACTACTTCCTTCTAGGATGTTTTCCATTATGGAAAGAATTGATTTAAATTGAAGATAAAGAACGGGGCGACTGGGTGGCTCAGTCGGTTAAGCCTCTGACTTCAGCTCAGGTCATGATCTCATGGTTCGTGGGTTCAAGCCCTGCATCAGGCTCTGTGCTGACTGCTCAGAGCCTGGAGCCTGCTTCGGATTCTGTGTCTTCCTCTGTCTCTGCCCCTCCCCCACTCACGCTTTGTCTCTTTCTCTTAAAAATAAACAAACATTAAAAAAAAGAACTATTCTTCATGGTATTACTACTCCTTGTATTAATTTTTCACAACTTGGCATCCAAAAGAACACAGGTTATGTGTCAGGGTTTCTCTCTGTAATAAGTACAAAATGAGAGCTTTCTTTCATCTGAAAACTGCTTTTCTACTTGTTTTAGATACTTAATTTAAAATGACTTGAGGCATCTGAGTGGCTCAGTCAATTAAGTGCTGACTCTTGATCTCAGCTCCAGTCGTGATCACATGGTTCCTGAGATCGATCCCCGAGTAAGCACTGAGCCTACTTGTGATTCTCTCTCTTCCTCACACACTGCCCTTTCCCTGCTCTTGCACTCATGTTCTCTCCCTCTCAAGATAAACTTAAAAATGAACAAATAAATAAAATGACTTAAGAATGAGTCATGGTGGTAAATGAGAAGACAATGTTTCCTTATTAAACATTACCAGGTGGCACATTGTCTTGGGTGTTGGTGTTCTGCAGATAAAGAACAGTAACACATTTTTCATTCTTTTATCATATAGCTTTTAGTATTTAAAGAAGATACCTCTGGAGAAGATACTTCTGTTAGGTTTATTGGCTGATGTGAATGTTAAGGCCTGTTATGTTTTACTTTTGCAGAGGAAGCGCTCTTCAGAAAAGATTGCGTGATAGGGAAAAGGAAATGGAAGCAGATGAACGGGACAGGAAAAGAGAGAAGGAAGAGCTAGAGGAAATCAGGCAGCGCCTTCTGGCTGAAGGACACCCGGATCCAGACGCAGAGCTCCAGAGGGTGAGATAATATAACATTCACAACAGTATTCTTATAAGGGAGATGCAGCTTATGTTTCATGTATCTTACTGGTTTTGGGGAGGATATTGTCTTTTTCTTTATTCTGTCATACAAATCACCAGTGTTAGTTGATTTACAACTTTAATTCTAAACATCTTCCAGCTGTTTTCTTCCTTAATTTCTGTGAATATTACCTAAGTTAAAGGAATGTCATCTAAGAAAACATTTATAGAAATCTGTCCTTCCTGTAATGTGCGTTGACACTTCCTGACTTTTGTGGGTTGAGTTCCTTCTCTCATTGCCACCTGAAATCTTTTATTTCTTAAATAAATTGAAGATGTTTTCATGAACAACTTTTCACTTTAAAAGGAAAACAGGGGTGCCTGGGTGGCTCAGTCAGTTGAGCATCTGACTTTGGCTCAAGTCATGATATCACAATTTGCGAGTTCGAGCCCCATGTCGTGCTTTGTACTGACAGCTCACAGCCTGGACCCTGCTTTGGATTCTGTCTCCCTCTCTCTCTCTGCCCTTTCCCCATTCATGCTTCGTCTCTTTCTCTCAAAAATAAGTAAACATTAAAAAGATAAAAACATTTTAAAAAAGAGGAAATGACTTTGTTATAGGACATAGCATATCCCTTTCTTTTAAGAATAGAGTGTGTTGGGCACCTGGGTGGCTCCATCAGTTAAGCGTCTGACTCTTGATTGCAGCTCAGGTCATGAGCCCAGGGTTGTCAGATCGAGCCCTGTGACCTGATCCGCACAGGGCGTGGAGCCTGTTTGAGATTTTCTTTCCCTCTACAGCTGGTGTTCTTTCTCTCTTAAAAAAAAAAAAAAAAAAAGAACAGTGTGTCACTTTAGAAAAGTGCTTAGTTCTTAATATATTATGAAGCTAATAGTATTGTAAACTTTTTTTTAATGTTTATTTTGAGAGAGTGCATGAGCAGGGGGAGGGGCACAGAGAGAGGAGAGCTAGAATCCCAATCAAGCTCTGTGGTATCAGCGTGGAGCCCACTCTAGTCTCGAACTCACAAACTGTGAGATCATGACCTGAGCCGAAATCAAGAGTCAGACGCTTAATCAACTGAACCACCCAGGTGCCATGATTTGTGGTTGCTTTTTAAATGTCATCACACTGGCATATATATATCCTACTCAGATAAGTTTTGTAAATGGGATTATAATTTACATGCTATTTTCTAATGTGCCTTTAAATAGAGTATAATCTACCACCCAGAATTTTGCCAGTGTATAGCCTTTATGTCTTTTTTTTATACCTTGACCATCGTAGTGTGTTAGTCTTTTAAGTCCTTACTATTGTAACATTCAGATTAGGTGTGTTTTTATGTTTTGATTCTCTGTCAGTGAGTTTGAATGCCTTACATTGTTTAGTTGTCATTGTCCTACTTTGTGAGTTGATAGTTTTATGGCGTTGAGTCATGTCATGCACCAATTATTAATTGTTACATAGTTAAGGATCTTTTTGCCCTGTTTTTCTGTTTCATGCTTAGAGAAATTATTGATCTATTCACTCAAGTTTTTATAATGCTTTTAATGGTTATTGTGTGTGTGTGTGTGTGTGTGTGTGTGTGTGTGTGTGATCTTTCATGATTTCAGGGAGAGTGTTCATTTTGACATATAGGCTTTATTTTTACTTATTTATTAAAGTGTGGGTTGGGGAGGGGAAGAGAGTCTTAAGCAGGCTCAACTCCCAGCTTGGAGCCCGATGCAGGGCTTGATCTCGTGACTGTGAGATCATGACCTGAGTTGAAAGCAAGAGTTGGACACTTAACCAACGGAGTGACCCAGGTGCTCTGTTAATAGGCTTTTAACTCCAAAAAATGTTCCCCATTTTTTTTTTTTTTATATGTTTAGATTTGAGAGAGGGAGGGCAGAGAGAGATGGAGACAGAATCTGAAGCAGGCTCCAGGCTCTGAGCTGTCAGCACAGAGCCCAACGTGGGGCCTGAACTCACGAGCCGTGAGATCATGACCTAAGCTGAAGTTAGATGAGTAACCAAATGAGCCACCCGGGCGCCACCCTCTCCATTTCTTTTCCTGTTCGTGAATACAAAAGTGACTACCGCCCTTAGCCATGACCTAGAAAGAACAAATAAAAAATCTTTTAAGATTTTATTTTTAATTGATCTTTACACCCACTGTGGGGCTCAAACTTACAACCCCAAGATCAAGAGTTGCATGCTATACTGACTGAGCCAGCCAGGTGCCATGGAACAAATGAGTTATGACCAAGCTAGGGTTTGAGTTCCCTCTTATGTATTATCTATACTGTTCTAAAATAAAACTTTGGGGGGTGCCTCGGTGGCTCAGTCAGTTGGGCGTCTGACTCTTGATTTTAGTTCAGGTCCTGATCTCATGGTTGGTGAACTTGAGCCCCGCGTCAGGCTCTGCACAGCGCACAGCCTGCTTGGGATTCTCTCTCCCTCTTTCTTTGCCTAACCCCTCCAGTTCTCTCCCTTTCTCTCTCCCTGTCTCTCAAAATAAATAAACATTAAAAAAAAAAAAATGAAACTTTGAGCTATAATTTAACAAAAATATAAAAACCTATCTTTTCATTTTGAATTAGCCACCTATTATGTATTTACCTTTGTTTTATCTGAAGGGTATAAATAACTGTATATATAAATGTTAAAAATGAAAAAACATTTTGCAGAGTACCTAACATACAGATTTATGAAGCTTTCTGATTATAGAAGCAAGCAGTGTTTCATTATTCCTAGTGAGAAAGAAAAAGATTTTTTTGAAAGATAATATAAAATAAAAAGCTGGTTGAGTATAGTTGTGATCTGTTAAAGTTAGTCACGTTATCTTTTGGTTTTAGATGGAACAAGAGGCTGAAAGGCGCAGACAACCACAAATAAAGCAAGAACCAGAATCAGAGGAAGAGGAAGAAGAAAAGCAAGAAAAAGAAGAAAAACGAGAGGAACCCATGGAAGAGGAAGAAGAGCCAGAGCAAAAGCCCTGTCTCAAACCAACTCTGAGGCCCATCAGTTCTGCCCCATCTGTTTCCTCTGCCAGTGGCAATGCCACTCCCAACACTCCTGGGGATGAGTCTCCTTGTGGTATTATTATTCCTCATGAAAATTCACCAGATCAACAACAACCTGAGGAACATAGGCCAAAAATAGGACTAAGTCTTAAACTGGGTACGTTAGCATTTTCTTCCTTCTTTCCTTTATTTTTCCCCCCTGTATACACTTAAATTTTGCCTTAAGGAAAAAACATAAGTAATGTGCTGCTTGGTAGGTAGATAGAAAAATACTCAAAAATGCTTTTCTAGCTCACGATTGTTTTCGTAGTTCTACTAGTGCTCCTATATCTGCAGCTGCCTCAAGTTCTGAGAAGAAGTGAAAAGTTAAATTTTCTAGCACTTGTGAGTAGTGAGTTATTTTTTACAGTTGGGATCTTTCTCTGAGATTTGTGAAAGTATATTATGCAATGCTCTTGAGGGATGGTGGGTTGTAAAATGAAATGAAAGTTGAAGAAGTCATCATGCTAATATAGAATTTTTACTATAGGTGCTTCCAATAGTCCTGGTCAACCTAACTCTGTGAAGAGAAAGAAACTCCCTGTAGATAGTGTCTTTAACAAATTTGAGGATGAAGACAGTGATGATGTACCCCGAAAACGGAAACTGGTTCCCTTGGATTATGGTGAAGATGATAAAAATGCTGCCAAAGGCACCGTAAACACTGAAGAAAAGCGCAAACACATCAAGAGCCTCATTGAGAAAATCCCTACAGCCAAACCTGAGCTCTTTGCTTATCCCCTGGATTGGTCTATTGTGGATTCTGTGAGTAGCAAATTGTATTTCATTTTTATTGGAAGTAGTTTTTGATCATAGCATACAAACTCAGTTGATTCTATTAATGCCAAATACCGATGATAATTTGGCTGGCATCTTGACCTGCCAAGGAATTTAGGTAGACGATTCAGGAAATTCTTGGTGGTACTTAAAGTCTTCATAAACTAGAAGCAAGTAATTGTATCTTGATACCTACCTGTCTTAGTTCAACTTGTGAATGATAGCATGCTATAATTTAGTCTTATGAAAAATCACTAACATATTAGACTTTTTAGTAAATGTAATAAAAAGTTCTTTTAATTGAGTAACCATGCTTTATTTTGCAGATATTGATGGAACGACGGATTAGACCATGGATTAATAAGAAAATTATAGAATACATAGGTGAAGAGGAAGCTACATTAGTTGATTTTGTTTGTTCTAAGGTTAGTCTTTTACTCCCTCCATCCCCAACATTTGCGTTATCTTTGAAATATTAGACACTTTCGGGGTGCCTGGGTGGCTCAGTCAGTGGAGCATCTGACTTCAGCTCAGGTCATGATCTCACAGTTTGTGGGTTCAAGCCCTGCATTGGGCTCTGTGCTGACGGTTCGGAGCCTGGAGCCTGCTTCAGATTCTCTTGTCTCCCTCTCTTTCTGCCCCTCCCCCACTCACGCTCTGTCTCTCTTTCTCAAAAATAAACAAACATTAAAAAATAAAATAAAATAAAATAAAATATTAGACACTTTTTAAAATAAAAAAGTCTAGGGGCGCCTGGGTGGCGCAGTCGGTTAAGCGGCCGACTTCAGCCAGGTCACGATCTCGCGGTCCGTGAGTTCGAGCCCCGCGTCGGGCTCTGGGCTGATGGCTCAGAGCCTGGAGCCTGTTTCCGATTCTGTGTCTCCCTCTCTCTCTGCCCCTCCCCCGTTCATGCTCTGTCTCTCTCTGTCCCAAAAATAAATAAAAAACGTTGGAAAAAAAAAATTAAAAAAAAAAAAAAAATAAAATAAAATAAAAAAGTCTTGCAAAATTAAGTCTATGGTAGTTTCAGGTAAGAGATTTCATGGCCTCCACCCTATCTCACACCCTTATGCCATATGCTTTCATTTCAGAGGGTCAAGGAGAACAGATTTGCTGACTGCTGCCACTTTTGCTCTCTTCTGCCCCCAAGAATGCCTTGCCACCACCTTCTTGTCTTAACAGTTAGAATGCTGCTGAAGTACAGTTGAGGAAACTTTTTTTTGTTGTTGTTTATTTATTTTTGAAGAGACAGCACGAGCAGGGAAGGGAAGGGGCAGAGAGAGAGAGAGAGAGGGAGGGAGACACAGAATCTGAAGCAAGCTCCAGGCTACAAGCTGTTAGCACAGAGCCCGATGTGGGGCTTGAACACCTGAAACATGAGATTATGACCTGAGCTGAAGTCAGATTGCATAACTGCCTGAGCCACCCAGGCACCCCAAGTTGGGGAGGTTTTTGTGGAGACAGCTGATAGGTTATCTCATCAGTTTGTCAGTCATCCGTCCTTAGAAAGAGGAGCAAAATAGTTTCCTTCATAGAATGATAATGGTCCTTTTTATTGATTGATTTGCTGTGTGCCGAGCTGTGTTCTTTGCAGGTACTGTGTTAAGCATCTTATGGGAGTTTATGTTCTTTAAACCTCCCAACAACCTTAGGAAGTATAAATTACTATTGTTATCTCCATTTTATACATGAAGAAATTGAGGCTTAGGGGGAGATTGTATCTTGACCATGGTTACATAGTAAGAGCCAAGTCTGTATAACTTGTAGTTTTAATACTCTTAACCACCAAGGTATACTACATCCTTCTGTTGTCTCCTGGAGGCAAAGCTTTATTATTGTTAATAAGCAGTTACTATAGTAGAAGCACTATATTTCTGTTAAGGAATAACTAATTACATTTCAGGGAGGTGCTTATTTTTCTACCACTACTGTTCTAGCAACCTTAGGCTGCCCTTTCCACTTGTAATTATTGTAGCACTGAAATTTGTACTCCAGATTTGAATTAGAACACATAGTATAATGATCGCGATCCCAAGTTCTGGTGGAAAACTTCCATTGAAGAGAATGGGGTTCTGGGAATTAAGAAATTTATAGAAAGTTTCTTTAGTCACAAGAAATTCCCATATTAGTTTGAGGGCACTTTAAAAATTTCTTGACTATATTGCTAATTTTGAATTCATTTTCAAAATGATGATTATTTGTTTCTTTTAGGTTATGGCTCATAGTTCACCTCAGAGCATTTTAGATGATGTTGCCATGGTAAGTCACATTTATTATTAGTACTCTAATCAATATCTGTAAACAGACTAACCTTCTCTGTATTTGGTTAAATTTTTACCTTTGTTGGCTCCAGAATCTTTCTTTTTAGAAGTCTGAATTAAAATGTGAATCTACATTAAAAGAAGTTAAAAAGTACTCACGTCAAGATGTCATTAGACAACATTAACAGTCTTCTCTCCCTCCCTTGCCTTTGTTGTTTGTATGTATCGTAAATATAAATCCTGGATCTATCCATACCTTTAGAAAACATTCATTAAGTGCTTACTGGGTCTGTTCTTAAAGAAGTAGCAGGGAGATAGGTATACTAATTCGGATACTGTAATATACTTGTTATCATGGGGATATGTAAAAAAAAGATGTGGGGACAGAGGAGATGGAGCAGTTAGGACAAGCATCACAGGAATTACCATCTAAACTGAGACTTGAAGGGGTGCTTGGGTGGCTTAGTTGTTTGGGTGTTTGACTTCGGTGTAGGTCACGATCTCAACGATTCATGAGTTTGAGACCCACATCAGGCTTGCTTCTGTCAGTGCAGGGCCCAGTTCGGATCCTCTGTACTGTGTCTCTCTGTCCACCCCCATTCCCCTCTTGTTCTCTCTCTCTCTCTCAGAAATAAATTTTAAAAACATTAAATAAATAAAATAAGCAGACTTGGAAAGACTTCTGTAACTTTTGTCACTTGGACAGGTAGTAGTTAAACTCAAGTCCGACTTACATGTAATTTGAATATTAGAATCAAGTCAGTAGTTGCATTTATTTCACATTGTGACTTTGTGAGAAAACAAAGGAGGAGCAGAACTGATGGTGGAAGTGAGAATGGTTGAGTGGACTGTGAACTCCAAGCTAGGAAGAGAAGGCAGTAACATCGGAATGAAGCTGGTGGTTGCATGAATGAAGGGCTGGTGGTTCCAGTGACACTGTGGGAAGAGCGGTTATAGTGAGAGAGCAGAATGTTTAAGAAAGAAGTGATGTATTCAGACAATCAGACAAGTGATCCAGACAATGGTGTGTTGCAAATATTGCCATGAGAGACAGTTTCTGGGGTCAAGCTGATGTCCTGGTTTAGACTATACGTGAATTTTCTGCCTGGGTCATACACATAGAAGTGGAAATTCCTGTGTGTTTGGACAGAGATTGAAGAGAAATACAGGAAGCAAAGCTAGAGTGTTCCATCTGTTGTGAGTGGAAGACTAGGTATTTGCTAGATGGCTGTTATCGGAGTGGGAGGTAGCGTAGTGAGAGCTCGTGAACCTCGGTCAGAATAATGTTTGCAAAGAGAAACAGGGAGGCCCCAGCAGCTTCCCCTCTCTGAGACTAAGGCTTCGAAAGTAAGGAACTTCCTGAGAAGGCTACAGGAATGTCAGGGTCTTTCAGGGACACACCAGGTTTACAGTTAAGGTGAATAGGTGAAAAAACTAATTAAAGAATTTGAGAGTAGTTAGTAGAAAGAGTAATGGAGTCCAAAAGGCAGAGTGGGAAGGCAGGAGTAGAAAGATGAGTCGGGGAAGAAACACCAAGCATGTTCTTAGATGACAGGTCCCTGGAATAGCTCATATTTCTAGCTGCAGAGTTGTCAGGAAAGGGCGTAGGGGGTGCCTAACCAAAGGGAGCTCTCAGGTCGAGCTCCTTTGTGTCTGGGCACTATGTGATGTCTAAAGCCAGGTAACATTAGTTTTCTGTTATCCAGCCAGCCTGATGGCAGCTGTTGTTTAGAATTTTTTATAAACTATTTGTGAAAAGCTTGTTGACTTCATAATGCTGATCCTCAGATGAAAGGAGAAATGTGAATAGATCCCTCCTTGGGGATAGATAGAATCTGAATTTCCCTGACCTTCAGGCCTCTTTAAAAGGTCATCCTTGGGGTTGAGAGAGGGATTTTATAGTTGGGTCTGAGTTAAGGAATTAAAACAAACAATGTTCTAGGGGTGCCTGGCTGCCTCAGTCAGAAGAGCATGTGACTTTTGATCTCGGGGTTTGCAAGTTGGAGCCCCACATTGGGTGTAGAGATTATTTTAAAAAGTAAAACTTTAAAAACAAAAAAACTGTTGTAGTATTTGCCCTTGGCAGAGTTGCAATCTCTGTCAGAGAAGCTGTCGTGTCAGTGTCCATCCATTTTGATCTGTTGAAATATTTTGATATTTGGAGTATAATTAGGCTCTTTTTTTTTTTTTAAAGTTTATTTATTTTGAGAGATAGCAAGCGTGAGCATGAGTTGGGGAGGGGCAGAAAGAGAGGAAGAGAGAGAATCCCAAGCAGGTTCTGCAGTGTCAGCATGGAGCCTGATGCAGGGCTCAAACCCATGAACTGTGAGATCATGACCCAAGTCGAAATCAAGATTTGGATGGTTAGTCCCCTGAACCACCCAGCTACCCCCGGAGTATAATTAGACTCTTCACTGGTCAATTATTTATGTTGTTTTAATTTTCTGGCTCATTGTTGATCAGAGTAGGAAGCAGCTAATTGAGCTAGTTTTGTCAGTTGGTTCTGCAAAAGCTCACCCTCTAAATATTTCCTGAATAAATGCAATTGAATTTTTTTAGCTCAAGTAGTATTTTGTTCTTATTAAAAATCTGGCTTTTTCAAACTGTACCTTTCCTCATTATACATAAACTAATGAACTTTGGTTGTATTTTGTACCTAGTTCTATATTATTTCTAAGGTATATTTTTCACATTGATTAGTGTTGGTGCACATTTCTCTTAAACTGTGGGACAAGTCTGGCTCATAGGAGTCTGACTAAGTTTTCTTATTATTATTTTTTTTAAGAATTGACTCTTTGGGGCACCTGGGTGGCTCAATTGGTTGGGTATTTGACTTTGGCTCAGATCATGGTCTTGCATTTTGTCAGTTCGAGCCCCACGTTGGGCTCTGTGCTGACAGTGTGGAGCCTGCTTGGGATTCTCTCTCTAGCCCCCTCTCTGCTCCTGTCCCACTCTCTCAAAATAAACAAACAAACAAACAAACGAACAGAAGTATTTTTAAAATAAAAATTTTTTTTTTTGTATTTTAGGGTGGGATAGGGAAGAACAGAGAGAGAGAGAGAGAGAATCTTTTTTTAAAATTTTTTTTTTCAACGTTTATTTATTTTTGGGACAGAGACAGAGCATGAACGGGGGAGAGGCAGAGAGAGAGGGAGACACAGAATCGGAAACAGGCTCCAGGCTCTGAGCCATCAGCCCAGAGCCTGACGCAGGGCTCGAACTCACGGACCGCGAGATCGTGACCTGGCTGAAGTCGGACGCTTAACCGACTGCGCCACCCAGGCACCCCAGAGAGAGAGAGAATCTTAAGCAAGCTCCACACTCAGTGCAGAGCCTGATGCAGGAATTGATCCCACAACCCTGGGATCATGACCTGAGTCAAAATTAAGAGTCAGCTGTTAACTGACTTAGCCACCCGGGTGCCCCAGGAGTTCTTTAATTAATTGTCATCACTGAAAAATTGAAGGGAATTTTTAAAAATTTTGTGTGGGATTTTTTAAGGGAATTGACAAAGTATTGTGGTGTTAGTATTTGATAGGCCATGGAATTTTCCTGAATGCATTGCCTTTTCTTGTGTGTGCAATTTAAAAAAAAAAATTTTTTTTTTTTTTACACATTTATGTATTTTTGAGAAACAGAGTGAGACAAAGTGTGAGTGGGTGAGGGGCAGAGAGAGGAGACACAGACTCTGAAGCAGGCTCCAGGCTCTGAGCAAGCGGTCAGCACAGAGCCTGATGTGGGCCTCAAACCCACAAACTGTGAGATCATGACCTGAATCGAAGTTGGTCGCTCAACCGACTCAGCCACCCGGGCACCCCTTGTGTGTGCAATTTATTTGTACTACTTAATACACTTCTCACACTAGACAGATTTCCTTCAAGTCATTTTAATGAAAGTAAATGTTTGTCAATGTATAAAAACCTTTAAAAAAAAAAAACTACAGTCACCAATGGGAGATGCTGATGATTGCTTTATATCTGTTACTGTCTTTTCAGTTTTTTCTTTTCCTTTTCCAGGTACTTGATGAAGAAGCAGAAGTTTTTATAGTCAAAATGTGGAGATTATTGATATATGAAACAGAAGCCAAGAAAATTGGTCTTGTGAAGTAAAACTTTTTACATTTAGAGTTCCGTTTCAGATTGCTTCTTCTTTCCCACCCTTCAGAGGACTTTGACTTTTTCTTTGTCTTCAAAGACATTTGTGAGATCTGTAATTTTTTTTTTCAATGTAGAAAATGTGAATTTTTTTGTCCTCTAATTTGTTGATGCCCTGTGTACTCCCTTGGTTGTAAAGACATCTGAATCCTACCTTGGTTCTCTTTATACTCACCAGGTACAAATTACTGGTATGTTTTATAAGCCGCAGCTACTGTACACAGCCTATCTGATATAATCTTGTTCTGCTGATTTATTTCTTGTAAATATTAAAATGACTCCCCAATTCTTTTGCAGAATTGCACTTAATGTTGAACTGTACTGTATAGGAACCTACATGAATGATTTTAATTGAAAGAATACCCATCATACCTATTACCTTTCCCACCCCTTGATCAAAAATGGCAAGCCCTCCTGAAGGCATGGAATTTAAAATTAGAGTGCTAAGATTAGCAGACAATCCATTCCTGCTGTATCTCTGTATGAATGTGTTCGTGTGAATGTGTATAAATGTCTTACTTTTCCCTAATTTTCTTTGGAGGGCTCCCTTAAACATTTCCTTATTGAAGAGTAGAATTCTAAAGGAAACGTGGTATTATGCCAAGCCAAATGTCTGGGATAATTAGGTTATTAGTGTCCCAGAGCATGGTATTCTCTTGTGGCCAGCAACAGTTTGGTGAATGGAATGGGGCTTTCCTGTTGATAGCTGGCTGCTTCAGCCTGTCTTTTTTAAGGGAACATGAATCATAATGGTTTTCCCCTTAATTTCATTGTTCAGAAATGAGGCAGATCCTTACATTCTGGAGAACGTTATTTGATGCATTTTTGCACTAATTGGTCCTTAGCTTTATTTTGGTGTATTCTTTTGTTTAAAAAAAAACAAAAACAACAACAACAAAAAACCCTTAATCTGCAAAGCATAGATGAAAAAAATCATTTTTAAAAACAAAAGGTAAAATTAGGTAATTTTACAGACTAGGAAAATCTGGAAAAAAGACCAACAGGAATTGAGCATGGCAGTTTGCAAAGTTTACATCTTATTTTTAAGGGTGTAAAGTAAATCATTTATGGCAGTTACCACTAATTTTTTGTTTTCACTTTTGTAAAGGTTTATATCTTATGAGTGTATATGCACGCACACACCTCGTTTACCTCTGCTCACCAATGTTTAAAAAATATACTGATGGTGTTCTTAGAGACATATTATGGGGCTTTCTTTATTGTAGAACAGAATTTCACCAGGGAGCAAAATTACCTGAAAATGTAACAGGTTTTAAACAGTTCTTAACACAAATTAGGTGCAGTTATTCCCATGTCTGAGTATTTATTTAAAAGAAAGATAAAAATTGGGGGTAGTGGGGTTTGTTATAAAAGCATAACTGAGCTTGAGTTACTAGATTTTTTTTTTTTTTTTTTTTACATCTTAAAAGGAATTTGAAACACTGTTCTTAACATTGAACCTTGAGGTGGTTCCATTATGTACATATTTCCAATATTAAAACTGTATATATTTGATCTTGGGGACCCATTCTTTCAGAGTCTTGTTAAATAAATGGTATCATGTTGTAATTGTGCAGTGCATACTAGAAACAGAACTTGAAAATGTGGGCTGAATTTTTGATGTACTTGATTTTTATGAGTATTAGTAACTGAAGGTCAAAGGGGCCATTTGCCTTATTTTGGATTAATCTATACATTTGTGGAGAATACAGTCTTTTAGTATTACCATTTTTAAGTTCTGGTTTCTCCAGGGAAAATTTCAGAAAGTTCATGCTCCTTGCCATCTACAAATTTATTTATTAGCCTTTTCTCAGATTAATCCCTCCAGCTTTGTACCTTGTTCAAACAGTTTATCATTCCTCTCTATCTTACTGTGTTACTGCTTCTAGGGCATCATATTAGGTTGTGTTTATTTAGCCAGCATTAGCATGAAGGTTTATTCAGATAGGTTTAATTTCTTTTGCTTTTATCTTCTCCAGCTCTCTCACTGTATTTATCTTGAGGGTCCCTATCTGCAATTCTTGGGGCACATACCATATACTGTTTCACATCTCCACTAAGATTTGTGTTGCGATCCCAAACTCATACATCACATTTCTGCAGTGGGACAGGAGTGATCACAGTCACTGGGTTAAAGATCATTTATAATGGTTTCCTATCCACTCAAGACCAGGTTTGCCACCAAGCTTAAACTTTAAGGTTTTCAGTTTCTTGTTTTTCAGATTTGCATATAAAGAATCGGACATGTATAAACTAGTGTATTCTAGTGTTTGGGAGAATACATGTAAGAACATTTCTAATAAATTACTTGAGCTTTCTGGGTTATCTTTACCGTTTGCCCATAGATTAATTTCAATTTGGAAATCTTTATAGTGCCCATTCATTCAAGTTGTTGTAAAATTACATGAAAATCTTGAGAATCATTCTTGATCTGGCAGAAAATAAATCATGCTTTTTCCTCATTTGATCCTATAAAATTAAATATGTACATTTGTTAATGGAGGAAAGATCATTTGTTTGAAGTAGTTTTTCCTCAAACTTTAATGTGTACCTAAATCAGCTAGGGCTCTTATTACAATGTAGACTCTGATTTAGTGGGGCTAGAGGGGGGCCTGAAAATTTGCATTTCTGACCAGCTTCTGGGTGATGCCAGTGTTAACTGACCTAGGGACTACATTTTGATTAGCAGTTTAAGGTATGTTCTCAGTACAGGTTTCCCGTGCTATTGAAGTTGAGCGTTCCTGTGAAACATTTGATGTTTGTTTATTTTTGAGAGAAAAAGAATGCAGGCATCCGCGTGAGCAGGCGGGGTAGGGGTGGGGAATAGAGGGAGAGAGAATCCCAAGTACAGAGTTCTACACAGAGCTCAATCCCAGGAACCATGAATCATGACCTGAGCCAACTGAGCCACCCAGGGGCACCCTTGTGAAACGTTATGAAAGCTGAAATGGCATAAAGTAAAGACACAATAACCATTAATTTATATGGAGAAATTATTTTGAGTATTTATTCCTGGCCCAAAGGTAACCTCTGTCACACTTATCTGATATCTTAGAATACGTCTTGCTAACAGACACACAAAATATATCCAGATAAATCAGGGACACAGTTCAAAGCTGTGGTGGCCCTATGCTGAGTGTGGTCCCCCAGGAAGGAACTTGGTGGCACTTCTCTTGCTGCCTCTGTAAGGGCTCACTGTAAAACAAACGCAGATTGCTATTTTTGCTGTATGTTCCCTTTTCTCGTAAAAGCGAAAATCCTGTTCAGATTTCTTTTGGTTGGGACAAAAAAGGTGCTAATGTAGGTCTATGTAGGTCTTGCGTAAAAGTGGAGTAACTTGACTTCTGAAAAGCCAGGGAAACCTGTACTAGTATTTTGTCCTAACAGTACACAAATGCAGTGTAATTTTCTTTTTAAGTGGACTTTAAAGAGAGAAACATTTTTTTTTTTTGAGGCAGATAGATGCACGTTATGTATGTTCATGAACATAACATAATCTTCCAAAAGTGGTGCCTGAGACTGACTGTAATATTCTAGGCTTTATTCCCAGCTAGTCCCAGAACACTTTCTCCTTAGAGAACTGTTTTCACTTATTCTGGTTCTTACCATAACACTTGCATATGTAGTAGAGGCAAATGATTTTGTAGAGAGTGCTGTTTCTAATCAGGTACCAATCAGGCACCAGTGCTAGATATATGCTGGACAAATTGAGAAACAGCTCGCAAATCATATGAAACTAAACACTTACTGTCTCCTTCCATATGAAGTAAAAAAAAGTTGTAATGCTAATAAATAGTAGTGTGTATATGAGGCTTATTTACTCAGCTTTTCCTGATGAGTTCTGTAATCGTTTTTACTTTCTACACAAAACTACTGAAAGTTTTTATGTCAGAATGGTTACAGATCTTTTCAGGTCATATATCAGACTTCTTTTAACAATATGAAATTGAGAAATAGTATTGCTCAACAAGGGATGTTGAAATTGATCTCTGAATGCCACTGCATATAAAAAGTATGAGATAGAATCCCAAATAGGCAGAGAAACGGTCAGTCTAGGTGTCAGGAAGGAAACTGGGAAATTCACATATATGTATTTCAAACCCAAGAACTATTACTATAATATGCATACTGTGGGCCAAAGTGAGCTTATAATTTTTGATAAATGGTAGAATTTTTGAAATGTGATTATGTTGAATTATTGATGTAATTTGTTTATTTACATTTGAGTGCTTACAGTTTCATCTTTATTCGACAGTATTTTTGCCTTTCATTTTATCACTTACCTCGTATGAAGGCCAAGGTTAGGAATAGCAATCTAAAATGCCCAGGAAGAGGGGCGCCTGGGTGGCGCAGTCGGTTAAGCGTCCGACTTCAGCCAGGTCACGATCTCGCGGTCCGGGAGTTCGAGCCCCGCGTCGGGCTCTGGGCTGATGGCTCAGAGCCTGGAGCCTGTTTCCGATTCTGTGTCTCCCTCTCTCTCTGCCCCTCCCCCGTTCATGCTGTCTCTCTCTGTCCCAAAAATGAATAAACGTTGAAAAAAAAAAAAA